AAAATAAAAAAAGTGTAATAACCGAACTAAATTTATTTACAAATTGCAAAAACACCTTACCTTTTATTACAAAAAATACATAAATCACATTGCAAAGTGTTTAATTAGATCTCACTGACAAATAAATGACATTTTTTAAGATAATATTCTTATACTAAAAAATAAATATAGGTAAACAGAACGAATTAAAAAATAGTAGTAATCGACTATTTAATTACTATTTTGGTAACAATTTATTTTTAAATATTTTTCGAAATATTCTAACAAAAATTTGTCCGGTGATTCTAAAGTATGCAGTGGCGGCTCGTCAGATGAGGCAAGTGAGGCGGCGCCTCACAGCATATGTCTTAAGAACGGATTGACTTAATTTGTAATTAAAAAAGAGCTTTCAATGCATTTTTAGTTACAAAAATATGTTGAAATGGCAAATCTGTTGATGATTTTTTGTTTTTTACGCTTTCTGCTGACATTTTCGGTTGAATACCGTACAATTTATACCCCTTGTTCTTTAACTGAAGCGGCCACAACGTCGGTTCACTTGAACCAACGAAGCCCAATCACAGACACGGATTTCCATGGCTCAGGTGCTATACTCCTATACATGCGTTCGCTCGGAACTGAGGCGATATCTTCGGTGCTTCTCGACCATTTTCGGCGTACTCATTAAACCATTTTCCCATTTATTTTACAAAACGGAAGGGCTGCGGGGTGCGTGGGTAATTAGCATGAATGTGAGTAACAGCCCACGTGTGATGTTTCGTGTTTTTGTCTGTTTCATAGGTACAGGTGAGTGAAAAATGAATCTCGAGTACCATATCGTCAGGTTCCTTCTTGAAACGCCGTTTTCACGGCGAACCGAGCAAGAACGTCGGCAAATTTTACTAAATATCGAGCAGTCAAAACCGTTAATTAATTTAACTTCCATTGATAAGAGACAGAATCGTCAGTAGTACTCCAAGTCTTTTAAATAAACTTGGTACGAAACATATAAATGGCTCTGCCGTAATATTTGTACGATTTAAATAATTTCATCCGAAGTGCAAAGTTACATGAAAGTTCCAAAGTACACATTAAAAATTTCATGGGCCTTTAGAAAGGAACACAACAACTATTCCCGAATCCCTCCAAGAAAGTGGTAGTTTAAACAAAATTTTGACTTGTAAAAACATTGTTGATTAAATGTGTTATGGGTGTTATTATTAATAATATTATTATTATTATTATTATTATTAAGACCTACCACTGACCCGGAAATGACCGGTATTCGGGCAAGACTTTTATCATTACTAACTAGTAAGACCAAGTAATATGCACTAATCACATTAATTTAATTATTAATATTATTATTGTCAAATTTCTATCATCGCCTCACCACATCAGACAGTCACGAGCCGCCACTGAAAGTATGTATTTGTAAATATAAAAACTGCACACTGCGTCCACAGATGTAAAAATACTTATCAGATTAGAGCAGGCACAACAAAACACAGTTCCTTCTTGAAGAATAAGTTCAGGAAAAGGTTTAATTCATAAATTAATTTGAGTTATCTACATATTGACACACATCTCTATCGCTTTAAATACTTAAATGCAAACTCACAATGAAAAATAATAGGATAACGTCCCTTCGACCACCATAAACCATACCATTAATACAACGAACAAAAATATTGAAATGAACGGTATTTCCAAAAGTAATTAGGAGTCGAATTTACCTGGAAGGATGGCTTAACACCCAGTGGTTCCTCCAAACTACCATGTTGTTATTATAATTTTCCTGTAATTGGGCTTGTCCCGTTGGAGAATAAACCTTATTATTATTATTATTATTATTATTATTATTATTATTATTATTATTATTATTATTATAAAACCCAAACCTTTCCCAGTTATTTGAAGCTCAGGACAAGATTTGCAATATGATTAATGAAATTTCGTCTTTCTAGAAAAATGCCGATCGAATGGCATTTTTTTTTCAAAGTAGCACAAAAATTGATAAAAATGCAAAATATGCACCCGTTACGTGAAATATGCAGCAGAAGGCAAATACGAGCCCTAACAACTAAATATTGGGACACAAACAAATTCTCAAAAAAATCCGGTACATATTTTTGATATCATTCAATTCGTTTGGACTAAATGCAAATTTTGCATGGGCATCTATTTTGGCAGAGAGTGAGGTATTTTGCAAATTAATAAATTTTCTTAGAGCGCAAACATTGTCACCTAAATAAAAAATGTGCAATTTTTGCTGACATTTAAATGTTGGGACACCCGAGAAAATTTGCTAAGTATACCATCGAAATACAAACGCAGTGGCTGGTAAATGCTGCCATTATTATAGGGATTGTAGCATTTCATACTAGTGTTGGTTTCACTTAGAAGAAAATAGTTAGTGGTGGGGTAATTTTAGTAAAATTTCTGAAAATAATAATTTCGCAGTACTGCATGGGAAAATCGATAAGACAAAGTGAAGATTTGTTCTAAATAGCTTAGTCGTCGATGGTAAACATCGTAAAATATTACGCAGACAGAGGTACCATAGGAATAAAAGATAAAATTCCTGGTAGGCCACCACTTGTGAAGCCCCGTGATCAACCACAACTAATGAAAATTTATAAAAGTGGACGACGGAGTGCTTCAAGAGAAATTACTACTTGCTGGAATAGCGATAACCAACTAAATGTTTCAAGACAATATTGTCGCGAATGGGTACACAAATCAGGCTTTGGTTTTTACATTGTAAATCTTAAATAAAGCTATCTTTGATTGACTTTATTATTTATTTATATTATGTTAGGCTAAAGTAAAACCACAACTAAAAACTGCCCATAAGAAAAATTGGTTAATATGACCAAAATAAAAATTGGAGAAAAGTAGTATATAACGCTGAGTCCAAATTTGATGTATGGGTGAGATAATAGTCGAAAAAGAGTTATTGAAATAAAAAAGGAATTTTAATATGGATTATCTTAAACAATCAGTCAAGTCTGCAAGCGGAAAAACGGTTTGGGGGTGCATGTCAATTAACGGAATTTAAAGACCAGTTAACAACGTTCATGGAAGGGAAATTACAAATTCAAACAAATGTCAAGAGACTTTGTAAAAAAATATTAACAACTTCTGAAGCAGTCTATCCTGTTGATATTTATATTTTTCAACAGGATGATGCTTCAAGTTACACACCTACAACACTTATTACAAAGAATAATAATATAAATGTTTGCCCTGACCATCGAATTGCCCAGATTCTAATCTAGTAGAAACGGTATGGCGGCGTGAAATAAAAAAATATTTAGGAAATCATCCATAACAAGCGATTGTCAATCTTCAACACGAAATTTAGCGAGTCTAGGATACGGTAACAACTCCTGTGTATTGCAGAAAATTAGTTGAAAGTATGATGGCAAGAATTCCTGCAGTTATTAAGGCAAAAGGAGATATGACCAGTTACTGAATTTGCTGTGTCCCAATATTTATGTGTCACAAAATGTTACGTTGTTTTAGAGTTTTATGTCACTGTTTGAGTTAGAAATCAGTTTTTGTTGTGCTGTAAACATTAACAGTTTTGCAAAACGAAGTAATTTTAAAATTTTAATTATCTAAAATAAATTACATTTTTGTTAAAAAGTTTGGTGATTTTTTTATAAAAATTTTTTGTTGTCCCAATATTTAGTTGTTAGGGCTCGTATATGCAAATATACAATTTTTTTATAGCTGTATTCATTTTTAATTAGCATGATTCGTTCACATATTAAATATCAAGACTTATATGCAAAAAATAACGGATATGCAAATTTCATAAAATCCGCTCTCTAATGATAATAATAATAATAATAATACTAGAAATCAAATTTATTAGTAGGTAACCGTTTGTGGCTCAAGGGGAAATTAAACGGCCATACACAAAGACACGCACCTAGTGAGCGTTATAGGAACAAAGGTAAGGGTAGTAACAGAGTGGTTGTAACCAGGGATGTTGCGAATATTCGCATCCGCATCCACAAATGCGGAGCTTCCGCATTGATTTGGACATCCGCATCCGCATCCGCAATAATCAATGCGGAACTCATGCGGATGCGGATGTAAATGTGGTGCAAGTCGCGACAAGAAAGAAATTAATTGGAGCCGACGAGTGACGCATAGCGTGCACTCGTGATCCATTGACCAATAGGAAGACAAGAATTCTACTTTCGGTGTTCCGTTTCGCACATCAGAACGTGTTTAGTCGGGATTGCGCGAATTGTGAACGTTTTGTTTTTGTATGTTATTGGACAAGTGAATCTACAATGGCACCACCGATGCAAAGTGAGATGTGGACTTATTTTAAACCAGATGATGATCGAAATAAAGCTCAGTGTACCTATAATATGTAATAAAACATATTCTCGCAAGGGTCGTACCACTTCGTCTTTGAAAAATCATCTGATATCCATGCACCCAGAACAGTTTAGTTTGTTCGAAAGTTCGAATAACGAAAAACAAATGCAGAAGATGAAAGCTGATGCACGTAAATTTTACTATCAACAGTGTTTATTTATTAGCCTTAATAAAGCGTTTTGCTTTTATTAATTACTTAAATATACTTTTAAGTTCTTAATAGATTATCAGTTATAATATATTAAGTGCATCGCAATGTTATCGATAATTTTGAGCAACAATAACTCGAATGCTTGTTGCATTGAAAACGCACGAGTGCTTTAGCACGAGTGCATTTTTCTTAGGCAACAAGCATGAGAGATTATTGTTGTTCAAAATTATCGATTTCATTGTGATGCACGCAATATATTCAACAGATTATTGCAAGAACAAACATTTTAAAAATAATTTTATAATGATTTACGAAGTAGTTTGGTGTGCGATACTATGGCGACGCAAGTAAATAAGAACAGCCATTTTGCAAAATTTGTGTGGGTTTAAAAAACCATGTCCAATTTTCGTTTTGGTCGTAACACGCCAAAAGAAATTGATGATTCTATTACAAACATTACGCCGCTAAATACGAAGAACTCACGAAATTCAATCTGGAGGCAATTTGAGAAGTTTTGCGGTGAACGCAAATATGTTTTTGATGGAAACACTTCCACGGAAAAACTAGCATTCATCCTCAAAGATTGGGGGTACAATATGAAAAAAGTCGATGGTAATGACTACAAAGAAGCAGTAATAAAAACGATGTGGAATGTAACGGCAAAGCAGTTGCAAGAACTGTATTTCAATAAATTTGGTATAAAGTTTGATCCTTTTGTTGACCTGGAATTCAAGGGTAGTAGAAATGCACGCGACGCAAAACGCCGGAACCTACAAATACAACCGGAAAAACGCAAAACTAGTTCCTCAATTTTGACTCTAGAAGAATACAACAAGATTCTAAAGATTTATAACGAAGACACGCCAGATGGTTTACAGAAAATGTTTTTTTATGTGGCTGGATTAGAATTAGCTTGGAGGGGATGTGAAGGTGTTAACGTTACTATCAAACATTTTAAGGAAGAAAGTGATAATTGTGGTTTGCCTACGGGGCGAATAGAATACAATTGTATTTTTTCCAAAACAGCTCAAGGAGGTAGCCATAAATTAACAGACAGCAAATGGCTTGCAACAAACACCACAGATCCTAGAATTTGCCCTGTTAGGTAATTAAATACTGTTTCAAATACAAAATAATAATTATTTTATTATTTAAGGCTCTACAAAAAAATGCTGAGCAAGAGAGGTAAACATATAACCACCGATCGTTTATTTTTAACGCCAAATCCTGCATGGAGAGAACCTAGTTCTGTAGGATGGTTCAAAAATTCACCCGTTGGAAGGAATGAAATGGGGAAATGGACAAGAACCGCCGCAGAAGAAATAGGCATCGACATAAAGAAAAAGAAGATTAGTAATCATTCATTACGGTCAACTGCAGTGTCGCAACTTGCAAAAGCGGGAGTCGGTGAAGAACAGCTTATAAAGATTACCGGTCATGCCAATACTTTCTCCATCAAACCATACCTTCAGCTCGATGGAGATCATCATTATCAAATGATTGACAAATTACGCGCCAACTCAACGGCTATGGAAGAGTCTAATAACAAATCCACAAATTGCGCACCGTCTGCTTTGGTACAAATGTCTAAAAATATAGTTACTACTTCACCAAGCACACAAACCCCTGTAAATTACTACAACTGTACCATAATTAATTACAATTCTTAGTTTCATAATTAAATATTTGGTTAGTAACCTCTTGTTTTTTTTTGCAATTAACTGGTACTTGCTTATCTTATAGTTGGCACATCTGGCTAGTGATAATTATCGGTAGTGGTAATTGCACAGTGTGCAATTATCACGTAATTGTATGCTGATTGGTTGAATTTACAAATATTGACGCGTTTGATTGGTCAGTTGACATCATGTGACATGTGAGTGCAATAATCAGGTAAGCTGCTTTAAGGAATTAATTAAAATTAACAGAAATGTTAACAGCAGATAAGCCCAAAGTTGGTTTATTTTGTTTTTAATACAAAAAAGTCGGTGCAATAAAAGTTTCGTTATTTAAAATCTATTTTGCATCCGTTTGTTTTTGTTAATTTCCATAACAAGTTATAATTTATGTGTGTATTTATTTTTAGATAAAATCCTCACTCCACTACAAGAAGCAAAGAAACAACTTTCGATAGAGGAAGCAGTTCAAAAAGAAAAAAAGTGGGATACTAACAATTCAAATTCGAACAAAATTGACAAACTCGTCGGAGAAATGATTGCACTTCAAAATTTACCGTTTAATTTTGTAGAGGGACTCGGTTTTCGCAGACTGATACAAGAATTATCACCAAGGTATAATTTAAGAGGGCGCAATTTTTTTACTGACTTTGTGTGCACGGAACTGTATGGCAAAGTTGCTAACAAAGTGAAAGAATTAATCGAAAAATTTGATTACATGGCGTTTACTTCTGATATTTGGTCGGATCCAAGCTCTAGTGCGTCTTTGCTTAGCCTGACTTGTCATGGAATCGCAGAAAACTTTGATCGACCATTGATTATATTGAAATGTGAAACCTTCGACGACCGTCACTTAGGTGACATAATTGCAGAAAAATTTGACACCATGCTTACTGAATGGAATATTTCAAAAGAACAAGTGCACTGCATTATTCATGACGAAGGCTCCAATATGAAAAGAGCTATGCGATTAGCAGTATTGAATGATTTGGATTGTGCAGTTCACAAGATGCAACTCGCTATTCGAGTGGTTTACAATCGCAGGAAAACATAACAACCGTCAAACAAAAATGTAAGAAAATTTCGACTCACTTTAACCATTCCACCATTGCTCAAAAACAACTGCAAAAAATCCAGGACAGACTAAATCAACCGCATCTCAGAGTGTTTCAAGATTGTGTAACGCGATGGAACAGTACGTTTTACATGTTTGAGCGTTTTTTAAAGGTAAAAGATGCATTGAGTCTTTATATCAATGACAGTGAAATTGACCCTATTTTGCCAGAAGAGTGGAAAATTATTGAATGTTGTGTTGAGGCTATTGAAACCTTTTGAAGAAGCCACACGGGAACTAAGTAACTGTCATACACTTATATCATCTGTGATTCCAATAATTAAAATGCTTGGAAAAAAACTTGATGATTATTTAACAAAACCACAGGATTCTGATCCAATTCGGGTGACTGTCACGACTCTGAAAACTGAAGTTTCAACAAAATTTTCTTTGTTGGAAGAGAACAATTTATATGTCATAGCCACGCACTTAAACCCGCGCTATAAGCACAAGTTTTTTACACCAGTGACCGAGGAAAATATTAAGGACGATATTTTGAAGATTAGGACAAACATAGAGAATGACGTCTCAAACTCTCAAATAAATATCTCCAAATTTCAAAGCAGCGAAAAAAATGAAATGGGAGATTCCCTCGTGAAAGATACGGAACAACCTGGAACATCCGGTACAGCCAGAAAGCCATGCTTGAAAAGCATCTTGCCATGATGCTACATTCGTCAAGTGAAGATGAGAGTCAAGAAATATCAGAAAATGGTTCCCCTGATGCTGTCCTCAAGAAGGAATTGCTTTCGTATCGAAATAAAGCAAGGTGAATATAAATGAAAATCCACTTAAATGGTGGAGCGTTAATCGTACAGAATTAAAAATTTTATCTGGAATAGCACGCAGATTTTTATCGCCTCTACCAGCTAGTGTTCTCAGTGAACAGTTATTCAGTAGTGCAGGATTAATTTATGAACCTCTGAGAAATAGACTCGAACCTGAAAAGGCCGCAATATTACTTTTTATTAAATATAATTCAAAAATTTTTAAATTTTCGTACTAAAAATTTGTTTATTAAATAAACATATTAAAAACCCCCATTTTTTTAACTGATTTCTGTACATATACTAAGTTTCTTAAAAAAAAACTTGAGATCCGCATCCGCATCCGCGGATGTGAGCCCCCAAAAATCCGCATCCGCATCGCGGATGTTGAAAAATCTGCATCCGCAACATCCCTGGTTGTAACCGTGTGGAGAAGAACTGCACGTACTACGGAATTGGCATCAATAAAATCAATTCGATAAATTCATATCGATCACTTTAGAATAATTATAACATTCGGTAATATAACATAAGAAATATAAAGAAAAGAATATGAACAGTAATTAGAAGAACAATCATGCAAGAAAGAAGTATAACGTAGTAAAGAACATCTCCAACAAAATAGAGGATTTTTCCATATGTAACAGTACTAGAAGTACAAGCACCAAAACACCTTAACAAGTTTTCGTTTTGATACCGTAGCAAAAGAGACCTTTGGAGACAGGCACGTAACCAAGGGGGGGCCTGGGGGGGCACAGGCCACCCCAGCAAAACCCTGTGCCACCCCTGGTGCCCCCTTAAATTAATTTTAAATTTTAAAAGTAAAGCAAATTCGAAATTTCAGATCAACAGTAAATTTTAGCTATGAGTAGTCTTATGTTCTTATCTTGTAATATAACTCTCTGAGTAAAGTGATACTGCTGTGAACAGTTTTGTCGATAACTTTTTTAAGCAATTAGCCGATAAAACTGATATGCCAACTCATTTCTGATAAGATTTTATTAATTTTATATTGACTACCAGCGAAGTTTTTTTTTAACTACTTTTTGAATTGTTGGCATATCATAATAAATACTATATGTATTTCTAGTACATATACATACTGTTATGTGCTTATTTTCTGTAGGAGCACAGGGTCGGCGGCAAGGTGGCATTGGCAGAGAAACAACCCCAGATACTAACTAAGTCTATTGCTAACACACTAAGAAGTTCGTTACAAACAAAAAAAAACAACAAATATTAATAACAGTAGGTACATTAATACTGACCCCCAATCCCTATCCTTAACCTATACCTCCCTTCACAGTCCACGGCGCCGGACCCTCTGGTGTATTGGGAGAAGCGAGGAGAGGCAGACTCTTTGATTCTTAGCCGTCTGGCGACTTCGCTCTTCGATTCCAGTACTCACAGCAAACGGGGCAATAGAGAGCCTCGACCCCCCTTCACAGTCCACGACGACGGACCCTCTGGTGCATTGGGAGAAGCGAGGAGAGGCAGACTCTTGGATTCTTAGCCGTCTGGGGACTTAGCTCTTCGATTCCAGTACTAACAGCAAACGGGGCAATAGAAAGCCTCGACCCCCCTTCACAGTCCACGGCGACGGACCCTCTGGTGCATTGGCGTATTGGGAAAAGCGAGGAGAGGCAGACCCTCTGATTCTTAGCCGTCTGGCGACTTGGCAACAGCTGTGTGGCTATAATTTCAACGTGATGGTAACCTCCAACTTTAGTAACTGTATTGTGGCGGTAACTCGTATGTGGCCAGTTCACGTTCTTCTCCTCTTCACCCACACCCACATCTCAGCCGATGGCAACGGAATTCCTTTATTTCACCGCAGTTACGTTTTGGCACGACCCTTTTTTTTTTTTTCAACGCCTGCCCCAAAAAATGGCCGAATCCCGCAATCCCCGTGTCAACTGTCAATCCCCACTCCCAAACCGTGACCTCCCTGCGCGTCGTGCGTACCAGCGGCGTCCCACAATTCAGTGGCGTAACATTCGATTTTTAAAACATAACAATACCTATAACAAAAAGGAAACATTTCCGTACAGTAAAGTCACTAACGCACTAAGGTGAAAATCTTGATTATTGTACCTCTCAATATTAAAAGTAAATACCTGTCAATTTCAACTAATTGCACCCCATTAAATTTATATACCAAGTAAAATGTTAATTTATGCTAATGAAGACTAAAGGCCCCCTTATTCGAAATTAGTGCCCGGGCTGGCCCCTCCAAAATAAAAGGCTGGTTACGTGCCTGTTTGGAGACGATGTCATGACATCGAGTTGGATTGGTAATGAATCACCCCAACGAAGCGCGCATAAATTAAAAAGAGTTAATGAGTATGAAAGACCGCAGATAATGAGAGAATTAAGAGAAGATTTAAAGTCAAAGAGATAAAATACCGTAATAGCACTCCATACGTAAATGCGAATCGGCTAGATTTAGATGAAGAGTTTAATCGGAAGATTCATTCGAATTACGCAATATCGGCATGGCAACCCCACTCGAAGCTGGAATCGTATTAGACTTAAAAGATACCGTTGCGGCAACCCCGTACGAAGATGTAGATTTATTAGGATTAGAAAAAGGATTCGAGTTGGAGAAGAGTAGAGAAATAGAGGCTACTATATTGCTTAATTCGAATATGATTTCAGCATCGTATGGGGTTGCCATGCCGATATTGCGTAATTCGAATGAATCTTCCGATTAAACTCTTCATCTAAATCTAGCCGATTCGCATTTACGTATGGAGTGCTATTACGGTATTTTATCTCTTTGACTTTAAATCTTCTCTTAATTCTCTCATTATCTGCGGTCTTTCATACTCATTAACTCTTTTTAATTTATGCGCGCTTCGTTGGGGTGATTCATTACCAATCCAACTCGATGTCATGACATCGTCTCCAAACAGGCACGTAACCAGCCTTTTATTTTGGAGGGGCCAGCCCGGGCACTAATTTCGAATAAGGGGGCCTTTAGTCTTCATTAGCATAAATTAACATTTTACTTGGTATATAAATTTAATGGGGTGCAATTAGTTGAAATTGACAGGTATTTACTTTTAATATTGAGAGGTACAATAATCAAGATTTTCACCTTAGTGCGTTAGTGACTTTACTGTACGGAAATGTTTCCTTTTTGTTATAGGTATTGTTATGTTTTAAAAATCGAATGTTACGCCACTGAATTGTGGGACGCCGCTGGTACGCACGACGCGCAGGGAGGTCACGGTTTGGGAGTGGGGATTGACAGTTGACACGGGGATTGCGGGATTCGGCCATTTTTTGGGGCAGGCGTTGAAAAAAAAAAAAAGGGTCGTGCCAAAACGTAACTGCGGTGAAATAAAGGAATTCCGTTGCCATCGGCTGAGATGTGGGTGTGGGTGAAGAGGAGAAGAACGTGAACTGGCCACATACGAGTTACCGCCACAATACAGTTACTAAAGTTGGAGGTTACCATCACGTTGAAATTATAGCCACACAGCTGTTGCCAAGTCGCCAGACGGCTAAGAATCAGAGGGTCTGCCTCTCCTCGCTTTTCCCAATACGCCAATGCACCAGAGGGTCCGTCGCCGTGGACTGTGAAGGGGGGTCGAGGCTTTCTATTGCCCCGTTTGCTGTTAGTACTGGAATCGAAGAGCTAAGTCCCCAGACGGCTAAGAATCCAAGAGTCTGCCTCTCCTCGCTTCTCCCAATGCACCAGAGGGTCCGTCGTCGTGGACTGTGAAGGGGGGTCGAGGCTCTCTATTGCCCCGTTTGCTGTGAGTACTGGAATCGAAGAGCGAAGTCGCCAGACGGCTAAGAATCAAAGAGTCTGCCTCTCCTCGCTTCTCCCAATACACCAGAGGGTCCGGCGCCGTGGACTGTGAAGGGAGGTATAGGTTAAGGATAGGGATTGGGGGTCAGTATTAATGTACCTACTGTTATTAATATTTGTTGTTTTTTTTTGTTTGTAACGAACTTCTTAGTGTGTTAGCAATAGACTTAGTTAGTATCTGGGGTTGTTTCTCTGCCAATGCCACCTTGCCGCCGACCCTGTGCTCCTACAGAAAATAAGCACATAACAGTATGTATATGTACTAGAAATACATATAGTATTTATTATGATATGCCAACAATTCAAAAAGTAGTTAAAAAAAAACTTCGCTGGTAGTCAATATAAAATTAATAAAATCTTATCAGAAATGAGTTGGCATATCAGTTTTATCGGCTAATTGCTTAAAAAAGTTATCGACAAAACTGTTCACAGCAGTATCACTTTACTCAGAGAGTTATATTACAAGATAAGAACATAAGACTACTCATAGCTAAAATTTACTGTTGATCTGAAATTTCGAATTTGCTTTACTTTTAAAATTTAAAATTAATTTAAGGGGGCACCAGGGGTGGCACAGGGTTTTGCTGGGGTGGCCTGTGCCCCCCCAGGCCCCCCCTTGGTTACGTGCCTGTCTCCAAAGGTCTCTTTTGCTACGGTATCAAAACGAAAACTTGTTAAGGTGTTTTGGTGCTTGTACTTCTAGTACTGTTACATATGGAAAAATCCTCTATTTTGTTGGAGATGTTCTTTACTACGTTATACTTCTTTCTTGCATGATTGTTCTTCTAATTACTGTTCATATTCTTTTCTTTATATTTCTTATGTTATATTACCGAATGTTATAATTATTCTAAAGTGATCGATATGAATTTATCGAATTGATTTTATTGATGCCAATTCCGTAGTACGTGCAGTTCTTCTCCACACGGTTACAACCAGGGATGTTGCGGATGCAGATTTTTCAACATCCGCGATGCGGATGCGGATTTTTGGGGGCTCACATCCGCGGATGCGGATGCGGATCTCAAGTTTTTTTTTAAGAAACTTAGTATATGTACAGAAATCAGTTAAAAAAATGG